GCCCGGCCCACGGTCTATTTGCCCCGCATACGCTCCCATTCCCTGGGTTCTAAACTCTTCGAGATATACTTTACGAGGGTATAGGATGCCTTAGCGTCATCTTGAGATTAAAAGAACCCTCAGGAAATCCTGTGTAAGCACCTTTTACCCATTTGCCAGGTTGGGCAAGATGTACAGTTCCATAACGTTCGAATACATTTCGAATATCTACCTCATCAGCCTCAAAAGGCACGTTGCGGAGCTTAACCCACGAATAATGTCGTGATACATCAGTCAACTTGACCCTCACTGCCGGTGTTACGTTAATGCTGACATCTTGGTAACGATCAACCAAAGCCTCGTATACTTGAGCAGTTAGCACTTTCACGAAAATTCTATATACACCGTTCAGTGCCACTCCATATAAATCCTCGTCTCTGATGCCGTATGTCTCTCGTATAATTTTGGGCAATAACACATCGACTGACGTAGGCGTTAAAGCCCCACTAATAAGTTCAATGCCCACAGTATTCACTCTCCTGCGCACACCTGGCACCATGTTGTTGACTGAGTAGCTCGTCTGGGAAACAGTAGAGGGGTGCAAAGCACGACCGCACTCTACCTCATCCAGGCAGCGAATGCACAACACCTCCTCGTACCACTGCTGGCAGGTTAGTGAGGAGCGTCAGGCAAGGGGGTCTACACGGCCCAAGAGCGATGCAGACAATCAACTTTCTTGATTATCAGAGGGTTGTCTTCGTTTTTCCATTTTGGGCGTCTTAAAGACACCTAAGAGGTTCTTTTAAATTTACATGCAAAAATATCATTCAGTACACCGATCTGTGTTTTCTCAGTAAACAGTGTACATAAACTCACGAGTGGGATTTCTCATTCATTAACAAAAATTCCAAAGATATTCTTTATTTTCTGGAGACATGTTACCCAATATTTACCATATGGTCGAATCTCATACCAATGTCCTCTAATCTCTCGCGCACTCCAACACTAGAAAAAATGATGATAGCGTTCTCTCCCACCATCGTGGATATAACCTCTATCAACGCTGAGGAGGGTAAAGAACACACAGTGTTGAAGGAATTTTGACATGGGACGTCTTGGCTGCCTCTTGGCGACGGTGGTGTTATCGCTGGCGTCTTCTTTAGGTAGGTGGTTCAAGTGAAGTGAAGGATATTGTGTTAAAAAAACGAAAGACTCGATGATAATATACAGAAAAAATTTAATAAAATTATTCCAGTATCTATGTGTTTCATGAGTTGTGTCTGCTGGTAAACATAACGTGCAGCTGGTCAGCTTTTGTCACTCTAGCAGTAATAATTTTTTGTGTAAGGCACTATTTTTATTTGTAACATAACATCGACTACTCCAAAGAAAAAAAAGGTACAATACACAAAGATGAGGGGGTACTTGTACCTCCTCCCATGGGAGACTTAGGTCTCGAGATACTCCCCAGATAGGGAGCCAAGGCCGGGTCACCACTACTTGGAAACGACCCGGGCCGGGAGAGTACCGGCGAATAAGAAAAAAAAATACCGTGACTGAAACAAAACACAGATAACCCGCACATAAGAGTAAGAAACTTATGACGACTTTTCGGTCCGACTTGGACCATTAAATTGTCACACACAAGCTCTCTTTGCTTCGTGCATCTGTGTGACTCGTTAATGGTCCAAGTCGGACCGAAACGTCGTTAACAGTTGCTTTCTCCTATATGCGAGTTATCTGAACACTTACAAGTAATAGAATTTCTGAACAAGAGTAAATAGGTTTTAATGATCGTCTTAGCGCTCCCCTACACCCAACAGACGCCTCCCTCATCTTCGACGCTGCCGACATAACAGTGACATCAGGGGAGTCGCTGACTCTCTCTTGTGGCGTCAAGCAGGATTTTCATCTCTGTTTCTGGGACCACGAAGATGGAAGGAGTTTCCAGGTATAACAGTTCCACTCTTTATACATTTAAGATGAAGTAGTCAATATTTTTGAAGACCTATACTCATTTTTTTTAATACTGTTACAATCTGAATAATCGACAATAGTGACGATTTTATGTATATTTTCCTAATAATATTGGCATAGTTTTTTTCACTTTTGCGAAAACTCCTTTACTATTAGCAATGTTTATATATTTTTTTTTTACTTTATGTATTTAATTTACTCACATTATTATTATAATCAAAAAGAAGCGCTAAGCCACAAGGACTATACAGCTTAATTTACTCACAGAATTAACAAGATAAACTTTTAGCTAAGGCATTCTCAGAAAATATGTTCTTGAAATCACACAACAAAGAATGTTTAATAATCAGGAATCTTCAAATTGCTTTGTTTTGAGGAAGTTTCTAGTCTAAGTAGAGTTACATTCATTCACTATAAAATGTCTACAAAGATTTACACTAGAGAGCCTCTCATCCTAGGTGGCGCCTATGTATTTACCTTGCAACGGATTAAAAGAAATTATCTTGCAGTGACACACCTAAACAAAAACCTATATCTAGACAAACTTTATAGAATGTTGAAAGAAATCCTCTGGGTCTACGAGGCTTCAGCTAATATTTCAACAGCACTCTCTGCTAAACTGCAGGGTCAGCGCATGATTTTTCTAATATAATAACAGGCTACAGGAAATGGCAAGACTTGCTAGTATGTTCGTCGAACAAGATGAGGAACCTCTACACAACTCTTGATAATAGGCCTTGCCAGGACTGGGCCGTAGGCGTGATAACCTACAGAACCATGAACAGGTAGGAGGGCTGAGGTGGTTCCCACTAAACTAGTTGAAGATTGAGCTTGTATCTGCCTTAAATGATGATTTATGAAAGGTTCCTTCACTACAACCACGACAGGTTGATAATGTCCACAGCGGCGTTCATCCTGGGATGAGAGCACCCGAGGACCTCACAGACAACCAATGTGGCATCGTCATCGACTCTGTCAGCGTCGAGGACTCAGGGGCGTGGACGTGTAGAGTGTTTCTCACTGGCCGTGGAGGAGAATTACGCAACTCCAAGACAGTAGCAGGTGCGTAAATAAAACAACAGATGTTGTGAAACTGTTTATGTTCCTAATGTTTAAATCAGTTCGGTGAACAATAAACTGATATGTCTCTCCCTCTTTCCTTCGAGGACTAAATCCTCGAACAACCTGACGACAGCCGAGAGCATTACCACCCGTAAACATCAGATGGCCCAGTATAAACCATACGGATTTAACGCTAGTTTTTTAATAATAATAATAATTTCCATGCTTTCTTTTTATGACTAGATAGTGTTGCAGCACAGGACTTAGGAAGTCACAAAAACAGAAATAATAACTGCTAACTTTGGAAAATTGTGGAAGGGAGGACATCAGTGGGAACAAAGGTAGACCTCTGACAACACAGGCTTCAGAAAGGAAGGCACAAAAAAGAAATTGACTGTGTATTACAACACTTTCAGAACACTTGAAAAGGAACAAGAATTTTGTAATTTAAGGAAAATAAAAGAGCTATTTGGGAGTGAACGTGTCAGCGGATGGGTCTATAAAAGATGAGGTGAATCATAGAATTGATGAGGGGAAAAGGGTGAGTGGTGCACTTAGGAGTATGTGGAGACAAAGAACTTTGTCCTTGGAGGCAAAGAGGGGAATGTATGAGAGTATAGTTTTACCAACGCTCTTATATGGGTGTGAAGCATGGGTGATGAATGTTGCAGCGAGGAGAAGGCTGGAGGAAGTGGAGATGTCATGTCTGAGGGCAATGTGTGGTGTGAATATAATGCAGAGAATTCGAAGTTTGGAAAGTTAGGAGGAGGTGCGGGATTACCAAAACTGTTGTCCAGAGGGCTGAGGAAGGGTTGTTGAGGTGGTTCGGACATGTAGAGAGAATGGAGCGAAACAGAGTGACTTCAAGAGTGTATCAGTCTATAGTGGGAAGGAAAGGGGGGGTAGTGGTCGGTCTAGGAAAGGTTGGGAGGGAGGGGGTAAAGGAGGTTTTGTGTGCGAGGGCTTGGACTTCCAGCAGGCATGCGTGAGCGTGTTTGATAGGAGTGAATGGAGACAAATGGTTTTTAATACTTGACGTGCTGTTGGAGTGTGAGCAAAGTAACATTTATGAAGGGATTCAGGGAAACCGGCAGGCAGGACTTGAGTCCTGGAGATGGGAAGTACAGTGCCTGCACTCTGAAGGAGGGGTGTTAATGTTGCAGTTTAAAAACTGTAGTGTAAAGCACCCTTCTGGCAAGACAGTGATGGAGTGAATGGTGGTGAAAGTTTTTCTTTTTCGGGCCACCCTGCCTTGGTGGGAATCGGCCAGTGTGATAATAAATAAAATAAAAAGAGCGCAAATCCATATGGGATATGAAGTGCCTTCCCCAGGTATAACTATGATGTCACAAGATCATGCATTAAAGACAACAGATGTTCTTTGATCTGACCTTATCATTTCTACACTCTCGTTGCCTCCAACACTCACACCCTCACCTACATATTCTTCCACCATCAGACTATTTACATACCAACACAGTTTCACCCCACCTAAAAATACAAACACCCTCACCCAACATAATCCTTTACCCTCAACAAAACTGGACATTCCCACATCTAACCTCACCCACGTATATATCTGTACATCTTCACCACTACTCTCACATCCTTACACCCTCGCCACCCAACACACACATTCCTATAACTTACCAACCATAACTGCACTTAGATTTATTTTAAACTGAGTGCCAAGGAAGACATGTTCAATAACACTGGCTCTTTTCCTCCAGCGTGTCACGACTCTTTCGTGTCCCTGGGAGGCGGCTGCTTCCACTTTAATGAGGATCTCTGGCTGGACTGGTGAGTTCTTTACTTTGGAATTACACGACACTGAGTCACTTTACTGAGGAACTACATGACACTGAGTCACTTTGCTGAGGGACTACATGACACTGAGCCACTTTACTGAGGGATTACATGACACTTAACCACTTTACTGAGAGACTACATGACACTGAACCACTTTACTGAAGGACTACATGACAGTAAACCACTTTATTGAGGAACTACATGACATTTAACCATTTTACTGAGGGAGTACATGACACTGAACCACTTTACTGAGGGACTACTTGACACTGAACCACTTTACTGAGGACCTACATGACATTGAACCACTTTACTAAGGGACTACATAACAATGAACCACTTTACTGAAAGACTAATTGACACAGCCATTTTACTGATGGACTACATGACACTGAGCCATTTTAATGAGGGACTACATGACAATGAGTCACTTTATTAAGGGACTACATAACAATTAACCACTTTACTGAGGGACTACATGACACTGAACCACTTTACTGAGGACTACATGACACTGAACCACTTTACTGAGGACTACATGACACTGAACCACTTTACTGAGGACTACATGACACTGAACCACTTTGCTAGGGGACTACATGAAAGAGTCAGTTTTCTAGGAAATAGCATAACACAGTCACTGTACTTTGTCGTGGGAACTATTGCGTGTTGAAAGCCTGCTACTGCCGCTGGGGACCGAACTGACAGCCTTGCAATTGCAAGATGACATCTATACCAGTTCAGCCAAAGTGTGCAAAAGATTTTCATTATGGGAAGCCCCACAGTGGCTGACTGTGCATAACGTCGAGCTCCTTACATTATATCTTACTTTCACGATATGACTAGTCTCTATTCAATGCTGCACCACTCTAACATAACGTGACATTACGCAATAATAGCGAAGACTTTTTGGAGCTTAATGCTCTTATTTCAACTGGAATAGAGGATCAGTGTATTATTTTCGTTCCTGAATAAATTGTATAACGATAAATAAGAAGCTGATGAGTCGGATTTTGTTGAAATTTTCTCAAAATATTCTCCTTTTTTTTTAAAGCACTATACTTACTGCACCATGAGTTGACCTGTGTCCAGTGAAGACCTGCTTAGTTGATTTTCTGTGATGATGTTACCGAAGGTATTAAAGATGTTCTCTTTGAGTGCCGAGCAGCTGTACCTTCTGGGTATGGCGGAGATTGAGGAAAATAGGAAGGGCATTACAGCTTCTTAGAAAGGAAAGCAAGATTCATACCTGGATCAATGAAAATTGATATACAAAATAGTGAATAAAGCTGAAGAAGACAGTGCATGAAGATATTACGACTGCTAATTCCTTCATGGTATTGGTGAACGAATATAGTTCGAGAATCGAGAATGATACAAAAAAAAAAAAGCCAATAGGGAAGGTAAGAAATGTCCCTTGATTGGGGTTTCTCACATTAAATTCATGGACAGTGTTGTGTAACAGGAAGAGGAGGAAGAGTGTGTGGTTTTCTAGGGCTAGATTGGAGGATATAATTAGTAAATTAGAAAGGATCATGACTGGTAATGGAAGGAACCCTTTCATCTTATATAAGAACATAAGAAAAAAGGAGCACTGCAGTAGGCTTTTGGCCATACTAGGCACGTCCGAGTCACGAAGCAAAGGAGAGAGAATTTTCTTATCACATATAGAGCAACAACAGATATAATTATGAAGAATGGGTGGATTCCCTTCACAAGTAACATTTTGCAGCAGAGGGGTGTTGGCAATGAATGGTTGTCAAGACTGACTGCTCTTAATTGCTGGCTTGTCGAATACGGCATGATCATTGCAGTCCAATTTATTGAAAGCTGGGACCATTGTGTAGCAGAAATGATATTCATGTCAGGTGTGGGGTAGATCCATCTTCTGTAGTGTATCAGGATTTAAACTAAGTAAAATGTGATTTTGGTACTGTGGATTTTAAAAAAATAACAGTTGTCAATATAGTAAAGTAAAATGTGTACACAGTATCAAAGAACTTGATATTAGTAAAAGGACACAAATGCAACTAATGTGACATTTTATTGTGGCAACGTAAAAATGTCACATTACCTGCACATGTGTCATTTTAATTAACATAATTTCGGTAATTCTACCAACATTAATACAAGGAAGATGATGAAAGAAAAACACATTCAGAAATACTGAGTAATTTACAACGCAACAAAATAAACGAACTAAGACTCCTTAAACAAAAAACATCGATAACACTGCAATAACCAAAACATGATCTAATTTGAAAAATCGAGAAGCGTCTGCCGTAAGCCTCATATAAGGACTTTTATTATTCTAAAG